GAGGTCATAATATTTGATGATGATGATGACATTTCATTCAATGTACTATGATGATTATATTGTCTTTCTAGTAATGAATTATTATTATCATCTATCATATCATCATTGTCATCCATCATATTATTACTATTAATAGTTGCATCTTCTAATTGTTGAGATTTTTCAATTTCTCTTTCTAATTGATCACTTAATAAATCAACACGTTGACGTGCTTCTTCTAAACGTTTCTTAATTTGAGATTTCTTCTTTTCTAATTCTAATAAACGTTCTTCTTGTGTATCTCTTTCATCTGGATCTTGTTCATATTCAGAAATATATTTAATTGATTGTGATTGTTCTTCAATTTGTTTCAATAATAATTCTTGTTCATTTTGACTATCTAATGCTAAATTAAGTGCTGTTTCAATCTTTCTTCTTTGATTTTTTAAATTTCTTAACAAGTCTCTTGTTGATTCTTGTTGATTCTTTTCTCTTTGTTTTTGAATATTGGATTTTAATTCTCCATTTATAGTTTCATTCATCATCATCATACCATCAATACCATCACTATTACTTAGAATAATATCTGATTGTGCTACTTTTGTAATTGATGTTTTTAAAAGTTCAATAGCTCTACGAACATGATTAATTTCAACTCTACTTTCACAATGAAGTCTAGCTAATGCTTCTGATAATCTAATAAGTGATTCTAATTGTCTTACAGTGATACGATATGAATTACTACCAACTTTATCATTCTGTCTCAATTTAATATATTGTTTTGTTAATTCTTCACGTGCTTGTGTTGTTAATATTGGATGTATACAATTTCTACAATAACGTAAATATAATTTTATATCTTCTGAAGAATATTGTGCAATATTAGATCCAATTTGTGTCATTCCATTATTCATTTGATTCATTTGATTATTCATTTGATTCATATTATTCATATTACTATTCATATTATTATTCATATTAATATTAATATTACTAATACAAGTCAATTGACCCTTATTTTGATGTACAGATACAATATGTTCAGCTATTTTTTTATCAATTTCAGCATCACATTCATCTTGTACAACAAAGAATAAATCAAAACGAGACATGATAGCAGGTGTAATACCTAAATTAGCTTTCAATGTTTTTCTAGGATTATAACGACCACCAATTGGATTAGCAGCAGCTAGAATAGAAGCACGTGCATTTAAAGTTGCTCTAATACCAGCCTTTGCTATAGAAATAGTTTGTTGTTCCATAGCTTCATGAATTGCAACTTGATCCTTAACATCCATCTTATCAAATTCATCAATACAACAAACACCATTATCAGCTAACATTAATGCACCTGCTTCAATTGTAAATTCACCTCTCTCTGAATCCTTAACAACCGACGCAGTTAAACCAGCTGCACTTGATGCTTTACCACTTGTATAAACTGCACGTGGTATCAAGTGAGATACAAATTTTAAAAATTGAGATTTAGCTGTTGAAGGATCACCTACTATACATATATTAATATCACCACGAATTTGAATCTTTTCCTCTGTTTCTTTATGTACTCCACCAAATAACATTAATAATATTCCCTTCTTAATATTTTTATGTCCAAATATACTAGGACATAGTGAACTTGCTAGATTTTCATAGATATCTTCATCTTTGGACATTTTTAGAATCTTTTCATGTTCTTCAGCTGTACATTTCTTCATAAATTCTTCACTCGATTCAAAATCTACACTTCCATTATTATTATTATTACTATTAGATAAAGCACTACTATTAATCATTTGTGATGCCATTGACTTGTTATTATTTGTATTATTTGTATTATTATTATTTGTATGATCAATAGTTTCAACAGAGGTAGCTAAAAATAATAATCGATAAGTTAATTCTCGTACACCTAATTCCTTAATACCCTTAACACCTTGTTTTTCAATATCACCCTTCTTTTTAGAATTAGCATTAATGAGTTGACTTTGAGCACCTCCAAACATTTTACCAACATCAGGTACAGCTAATAAAGTACCTGTAAATAAACAACGATCACCTGCTTTAGCAGATTCAACACAATCATTTCTCAATATAATATCTAATGTTCTAGGCATTGAACCAGATGGTATTTCATGTGTATTTTCTTGTACTTTAAGTTTTTGCCAATCTACAAATCTAGAATTATGCATATCTAATCTCCATCTTTTTGTATTGGTACATGTCTTATTAATACATGATGTTGGTTCTGTATATTTAAATTGTTGTGGTATTGGATCTGAAACTGTACCACATTCTACACAATGAAATATACCTTCAACTAATTCTGGTCTAACTTCTGATGATCTTGTCACTACTCCACTTAAACTTATTAATTGTCCAATATGTGCACTTCTTAATTGACGAATTCTATTTAATATTATTTAATATATATTTTTAAAAAAATAAAATTGTTATAATATATTTCATAAATGTAAATAAATATAAATATAAATATAAATGTAAATATAAATAAATATAAAAAAATAAAAATAAAAAAATAAAACATACTGTAACATATCAGGTAAATTAACAAATTTCAATTGAATTGTAGAATTATTTTCATGTGGTGAAGAAGATTGATCTATTTGATGAATATCAATCATTTTTCTTGTAATATTTGAATGTATCCATTCTTTATAAACAATATTTAAAGATTGTGTTAAAAAAGGTTCAAATCTATAAAATTCTTGACGAATTGACATTGCAATATCCATATCATAATTCATTACATTTGTAAAATCAACCATTACACTTCTAGCTGATGGTATAGATGATCCATCACTTTCACTTTTTGTATGAATATCTGCAAATTGTATTTGTAATCTTTCACCTAATGGTTCTTTACCTGATTCATGAACAAACATATTTAAATTTGTTTGATTTAGTGAGTGTCTTAAAAATTCATGAAACCATTGTTTAATTTGTTGATTCACTTGTTGTTCTCCACCACCATCTCCAAATTCATCATGATTCATAGTACTTGTTTCATTATCTCCTCCATTACCTTCATTCATGGTTGTTATTATATTGTTATTATTATTATTGTTATTACTATTATATTGTTGTTTTGTTGTTGTTGTTACTACTATTATATTACTTGTAGATGATGATAGTTATAAATAATATAAATTAATTGTTGGATGATGTGATGACAACACAAAAAATTGTTGTGTGAGATAATGTTTTTGACAATTTTTTTTTAATTGATTTTTTTTCAAGTTTCGGCGCGAAAATATTTGGCGCCAAGAATT